GCAAGCTCTCTTGCACATAAACAACTATCGGCGGCTAATCTAGATGAAGAGCCTCCCCGATAGTAAATTAAGAATGCAAAAAACAAATGCCTCAAACATGGGCCAAAAATAGTCACTTTTAAGCAGAATTTAATCCTTTCCTCTACTGAAAAATAGCAAAAACCATTTGGAATTGAGCCATAGTATTTCAGATTAGTCTCTCAAATTGAATGTACAACATTTGTAATTTTTTAAAGAAAACCAATTTTTGAACTGGGTCATGATGGTTGAATTTGCATGGAATTCCAATCGTAAGACGTAAGACACATTTTATAAAATTGTGGTGGATGACAACATATTAGCTACCAATTTTGTCTATTTTATTTTTGCATTGATTAGGTGTTGTGGCTTGTTTCCATTTGGATCTGTATTCTGAAGCTGTGTTTCTCAGCTCCTTAGTACTTTTCTCCACTTCCGTTTTACCCACAGTGTTGACAAGTTTGCTGTTAAGGGTGTCTCTCTGTTTTGTATGAAAGGCAAATCTGGTTTTGCTGTGTAAAGTGGCTGCATTCTCGTGTTTGTATGTTAACGTGTTGAACACTTCTTTGATGCCTGTAGTGTCTTTTTCAGGCATCCCCGTATGTTATTTTGGGGATAAGCCCTTTTGGGATTTCTGAGGGTGAGTTTGTTATGACCTGTAGTGCACCTTTGTGTCTTGCTTCCCAAAGGATTTCTTGTTCAAGAGACTCCAGGGTTGTTTCATCTGTACTATGTTGACTATTTTTGGCAGCTTTGGCTGGTGCAAGTCCAAGTGATTCCATAATGTTGTTTTCCCTGGGTTATAGTAGCGTGGGGTTGTGCTTTCTTGTTGAGGTTCAGTTTTGAATTTGTTTTGGTTTTTCCTTGGTTTGAGGGTTGTTGCCATTTCAGAATATTCATCTTGTTATCAGGGATTGTTGTTAGTCCTGCTGATGCTGTCATATTTTTTAATTTGAGGGTATTGCAGACCCTCCCTGCCTTTGCCATAAGTTGCAACCTGCTCAAACCATGCCCACTTGCTGCAGCCTTTATCATTTTCTTGGCAGTACTGTCCTTGATCTCTTAAGTTATTACTGGGGTTGCATTTTGCAGCCTAGAAAACATTAATTGGAAGAATACATCAATGCGGTTCATTTGAAAACTAAATCGTATCTCTGCAAGTTGTGTAGCAAGATGTATAGCCATGTTCTTTCAACATGGTATAGCTCAATGTCAACCTTAAGCACACACGTGAAATGTAAACATTTCTGCAGGGATAGAACAAGTCAACCATTTTACAATGTCTAGGAAGCACAGATAGGCTATGTTTTTGAGGGGGAGGGGTCCTGTTGAATCTGCATTTGTGTTGCAGTCTGAGAATGGGCGGTTGCACACAGCATCGACCATTTGGTTCAAATGTAAAATAAAATACAGGCCTCTTTTTAAAGTAAATAAAAAAATGTTTCTTTCTTCCACTTACAAATGAACCAATACTTATACATGTATTTGACTTTTAAACTCACAAGGTGAGTTTCCTTTGAAGCAGGCATTTTCAAAATGCTTTACTCTGGCTCATTTCCTTTACATTTTGTACTTAGATATTTTGATGTTCTAGAGACGATGAGCTTTCAAGCAGGCTTTTTCACAATGGTTTATTTTGGCCCATTTCCTTTATTTTTTGTACTTCGATATTTTTAACATCGTTTAGATAATATTATCAATTAATTTGAGCCATGGGTTCACAGTCATACCTCGTCTGGATCCAGCCAAAAGTCCATGGAACTCAACTAAACTCCTTAGCATTGCTTAAGGCCCATTAATTTTCACCATGGGTTCACCATAATACATCATATGGAGCAAGCCACAAATCTTTCATACTCCCAATTAATGATTATTGTGACATCCTTTATGGTTGTGTTAATATTACAAAACTGAAACTAATTGATTAACTATACTACAACTATACTACTTGTGTTTTTGTGTTATGACTCTCGTTACTAGCAGGTGTAACATAGGAAAAATCAGTTGATTTTGGCATAACTTTTCCTGGTATATTACCAAGAATAATGCCACATATAGGATTTTCTAAGCACAAGGCTTTGACATTTCCTGTGAAAAATGGAGTTTTGATAAGAATTTTAGCTTCTGGAGCTTGGCCTATTCTTCTACCAATAGTCAAAAATCTCCCGTTCTGGCCGGTAAATTGGTTGCAAGTGATTGCTTAATGACTACACCGCTGCAACTTGTAATGGGAAGTATTTACTCATACTGTTAACTATGGAACCTTCATTATCTGATCCAGTAGCTCTCAAATTTGTCTAGGGAAGGTTCCTTCTCGAGCTTACAGATATACAGCACGTCACATCATATCATTGTATCCACATTCATTCCATTCGTGCCAAACAATTCCATCATAGATATCTGAATATGTGTCGTCTGTTGTTCTAAGTTGTCGCCATTTTTGACTATTTTCAATGAAACCTTCTCTTATTTTTCAAAACCGTTTTGGTCGATCATTCAAAGTATGTGGTGATTTTTAGAAACTTAATTTTGTAACTTCTTTTTTCTTCTTGATCATCCCATTGTGAGATGTATTTTGTCTCTATGCTATTTCATAGAAATAAGAAATAAACAATCAATGTTGATTTTATACACACTTTTTGTAGATTATGAAGTAAAACAATATTGTAATGCTGAATAGCACAAACAAATGCCCTGGAAATATAAATCTTTCATGTACTATCAACTGATATATAATTTCCTTCATGTTAATGTTATTTTATCTTCTAAAGATCATACTAAGATAGGGATGAGCTTAAACTATAACATAGTCTATATGTTCAGATATTTCACTTGAGAATATTTATAAAATAAATATGAACATGCTGCTTACAGTTGCTCTCTTTTCAATAAATAATGTTTGATACTCAACACTGATTAGACTGCAATCATCAGTTAGTTGTATATAATACAAAAGAAGTAGAGATGTGGTCATGCTTGAATACTTTTTTTAACATATATGTCAGTGTTTACATCCATTTTCATCAGCCTGTATTAATTTTTACTCCCTAGAAATTATGGGAAAAGAGATTTGATTAAGTGCTTTTTAAGAGTAATATAGACTACAGATACAGACTATAGATTACATATGAGCCCTCTTTCAAATTTAGAGGAAAAAGTGTTTTCTCCCAAAAAATTAAATATGACTTTAATTTGATTACTCTTGCTGGACCACCAATTTTATGTTCACACTCAGCTGTGCTCACTAGTGAAACTATAAGGGCACTGGGGCTACCACTACTTGCACACCCTCCATATTCCCCAGACCTGGGGAATATGGAGGGTGTGCAAGTAGTGCACATATGCACATATAATTGGTCAAAGGTAAGGAGCTTAACTAGAGCATTCGTGAAAGAGTTGGGATCACACTTCATCATTTCTGAGCAGTTATGACATTTTAGGCAGTTTTGGGGATCATTGGTGGTCTTGGTGGGGAGAGAACTATGGCTGTAGCATGCATCACAGGTAAAATGTTACCTGCTTTTCAGGAGGTCTGACAATAATGTTTGCCCCTTTGAACTGAAATAACAAGAATGATTGTATCATACATAAAAACAACAAATAACAAGTTCAATTACATTACTATATAGTTCAATTAGACATCAAAACAAGCGTCGCATCTCGACAATGTCCATGTTGGCTATAGGCCTGGAACAGACATCTGTTGCCGAAGTTGATTGTATGACCCAGCAATGTGCACTTCCCCTGATTCAAGTGTGACTCTATTGTAGATTTTTTACAACTTCCATACATAGGAGTCCTATGAAGGCCCATATCTCATCAATCGTGATGTCCTTCAAGTCGCCTTTTGACTGCGCTGCAGACTCGGTCATTGAGTATCTTATCTGTTGCATATCTAATAAAAAAGTCAAATATACCAAATAGAAATTTGTATGTGTATCAAGTATACTTAAATAATGACATGTAATGTAGTTCGTTACACTAAGATAGGAATTATGTAGATAAATTCAAGCATCTCATAAAATAATAATTTGTAAATTACATCTAGCACTGTCATTACATGTGATCTTATTCTGTATCATTATTGGAAGAGGTTATGCCCGGCATAAGACAGATCTACTCTTATGCCCGGCATAAGAATTGAACCTAATTTGCCCAAACCTCATGTTGACTGAACATGACATGCCAGGTACCCTCCTCCGTAAGTTCCACAAGTTGGATCTCTGCTCTCCCATGTTGGATCTCTGCTCTCCCATGTTAGCTTCCTTGCTGTCTTTGCCCTTGCCTTTCCAGGTTTTTATTACCTTTTACTGTTTACCTATACCTAACATAATTTGTTATTGCACATACGGATAGGGATAGGTACACATATATTTTTATGCTAATCTTGACCGCCCTATTATTTAGTAAATTTTAACCTATTTACCAATAGGTCGAAGTAGGTCACTGTACAACTGGCTGTTTGCCAGCTTTTAGGCAAAGCTCACACACTGGAAGAAAGTGTTACAAAAATACAAAAATAAAGGTTACAAAGTTTGAGTTTAGCAGAATCCAAAATTTCTTACCTGGAAATATAGGATGTTGACGTATGGGTTTATTTACTGTGAATGAAGTAAAAAGGAGTGCAGGAAAAATTTGGAGTTAAAATTCCAGGGTTTTGATTGGTTAAAAATCAGAACGAAATTATGTTAGAAATAATTAACCAGTTTTATGCCAATACATCCGCTAATTCGACCAATAAGATTCAAGAAATTTATGCACTGGGAAAGCCAATCTTAGCTTTAGCAATATTATCTTGGACCTAAACTATGGGATAAATCAGAGATCACGATAGTTGAAAAAACTTGTTAGCCATTCTGGCTTATTCTTTCAAAAGTTTTTAGCCAACCAAAATATGAATTAGCCATTTTGACCGAAAAAATTAAACACTTCTAATGACTGTTTTCCTTTTAAAAATGGAATAAAATATAAGGAAGACCATATTTGCTTGAAACCAGTTATACTGTTAAGCTATCTTTTTTGCTATCTGTTACAACAAAAATTCTGAAATTATTGATATTTTTCGATCAGTCTGTCAACTACCTCCTCATTGTCTGAAAAGTCTGAGTCTAGACTGTCCTGTTCAGTGGGACCTGCAGCTTCATAATCCATTTGATCAACCTCAGGTGCTGGTGTTGGTGCTTCTAAGTTCTGTGGCTGAAAGATAAATTATTCAAGCATTTTCTACGTTGTAAATAGCTAAATATAATATTATCATGATTAGTGCAAGGCTATGATTAAAAGATAAGATCATGTGATTGTAATATACCTGTTGCTGGTTATCTATTTCTGGTTCTGGATCTGTAGCCCAGTCAAACTAATGAAAAAAATAGCTTAACCCAAAACAAATTGCAATAGAAATCAAATTAGGTTAGTTATTTACATTTATTTAACTTGAAATACATACTAAAAATCTACCAAAATCGAAGTAGTGGAACAATGTTAAAATTTGAATCGAAGATACCCCCTACACCACCCCCTTCAATTTATGAGTGCATGGCTAAAAAACATATTTCTTGAAGTCGAGGTCTTATTTTTACATAATTTAGCTTGACCACGATTGGATATTGTTTTTCCTAGATAATAATATTAATTTAACAAAGAAAAAGTTCATTTGTCTTCTTTTTAACCCTAACAAACCCAGAAAAATAGAAAAAATCCCTAAAATTACGCATATACTAATTTGAATGTGTGTTTTTATATTAATGGGACCTTCTAGAAAATGTCCTATAATTTATAAAGATGGACCAACATTCACTTATTATTCCTATGTAATATTGAAATGATAGGTTTATTGAATTTTGAGAAATAAACTTTTTGATACCGTATGGTTTGGCCACCATGGAATGAAGGTCAGAAAATGAAATTTGTACAAACGAGAGGAAAAGGCACAAATAAGGTCCAGTTGTAAAACTTATGACCCAACCTTTTCAAATCCACTTGTATCCGAGTCTCAAATTTGGTACCAATGATGTCAAATGCCAGTTTCCATAGCAACCATTTGAATATTGTTAATAGATGTAATACATTATCAGGCATATTCTACTCAATATTCGTCGACTCAAATTGATATTTGTATCATATTGAAGCAATAAATATGTAATTAGCTCATATGCAAATTAGCTCATTTACTAGTTTATTATGACATCATATGATGTGTATTTTATCGTACCTAGAAAGGTACGATACTGTTGTCTGCTTGGCGGGTGGGTGGCATTTCATTTTTCTTGAAATCACAATTTCTGGAAAACCATTTTAATGGATTCACTTCAAATTTTCACAAATGTTACATGGAAAGAAGTTCTAGGGCTGATTAACTTTTCGGTGGCCATCTTGCATTCTGGCGGCCATCTTGGAAGTTTTTAGATAAATCTTGCCATCACATATTCCCAAAAAATCATAACATATTTATTTCAAAATTTTCACATGTTACATAGTTAGAAGTTCTAGCGCTAATAAATTTTTGAGAAGCCATCTTGCATTCTGGTCCCCTTTCAGCAACCATATTGCATTGTTGCGGCCATGTTGGATGTTTTTGGATTGATTTTGTCATTGGCATTCCATGAAAACCACTTAATGGATTTACTTCAAAACTTTACACATGTTACACGGTAAGATGTTCTACAGCTGATAAACATTTTGGTGGTCATCTTGCTTTTTAGGGAAACAAACCCACACTGCTATTTATTAGGTACAATATTGTTAACCCTGTGCCTTGTTCTACATTGTACTCATATATTTAGACACAATGTTGATTGGTATTGTAAAAGTTACTATTGTTACGTGGTAAACACGATATAAATATATGTCATATTCCGCAACGAATATGGGATATTCACTTGCGGTGTATGCCAGATTCACCTGCGGTATATGGCATATACACTAACCAATGAGAATGTGATACAGAACTGTACACAACTGTCAAATACATTGATTCAAGGAATGTGCTAAAGTCTATAAATTATTATTATGATTACTGAATCGACATCTTTGTGCATTGACAACATCAACTAATACAATTAAATAACATACACCAGTACGGTACCTGTATTGTTTGATGTTGTTTTATGTATGTGTTACACACAAATACACACTCCAAGGGAAACATTATGATGCATAAATAAATGAACTTACATTCGTGAAGCTTATAAGAGACTTTTATTACCAATATCAACAGTTGACGAAAGTCAGATAAAGACGAGTATTTGTATATTGTATTGGCAATCACAATTTACATATTTTTGATACATTCAGGAGTATCATTCAGCAATTACATGTAATAAACGTACTAAATCAATCCAGGATTTATTTACAGGGTGGTCCAAAAAAGTGAACCCCTGCAACAGGCCACATTTTTCTTAATACATGCATGAATTGGCTCATATTATCACATGTTGTAGAGAAAGGTCTAAAATTTTGGTTGATGCCATAATTTATTCTCAGTTTTAAATTTTGAGGAAATTACAAGCGTTTAACAAACATGCCTGGAAATGAGCTATTGTACAAAATTTTACAAATGTGATTCACGGAAATTGTTGAAACACATTGGATGATGTTAAACAGCTTTCAGTTAGAGATACAAGTTTAAAACCCTACCATATGACAAAAGGGACATTATTCAAGCAGAAAACACATTTCAAACTTTCATTGATCATTTTGAAGCATTTTTAACTGTTCAACAGTTCAGGGGTATGTTACCTACACCAACAGTTAGAAGGGGGCCTCTTATGGAAGGAAGTTGCCCCCTGTGACCAGGAATCTGATAACCCCTTCATCAAATATCTTTAAAAAATCAAAAGAAAATCCAATATTCAATGTTTTGAGCCATATATCATTAGAATTGGTCCATGATTTATGAAGATATTGACATTTCAAGATTATATAGGGGAATGTTCATGATTTCACTGGAAAATGTTTTCGTCTGTGGAAGCTTAGCACATCTCTTTGGATCACAATAACTTTGCAACTAACAAATGTAGAATGTTAGTTTTAAGCCATAATATGCAGGATTTAAAATTGAACAAAGTCAGGAAATATTAGTTCTTTAAGACTGCAGCTTAAAAAATGCTCAGGGGAAAGGTGTTAAAGGGTTGAAGAATCGCGGATATTGAAAATCACAATTTGTCCATTTTCAGTAAGGTTTGGTTAGGGCTTATAATTTCTGCAAATTTCAAGACTAAGAAAAATGTATGGTACCAACATAAATTTTAGACCTTCCTCTACAACATGTGAAAATAAAAAAGAATTCCTGCAAGTAATAAGGGAAATATGGCCAGTTGCAGGGGTTCACGTTTTTTTTGGACCACCCTGTATACTAGTACTCGTAGCACTAACTAAATTGGTAATCCAGCGAAGTTATACATTTAGATCGATTCAATCGAGGCTTTCAGTATCACATTTTCATCTGCTGTATATGGCATATTCCGCAGTTGAGTTAGCCATATTCCACTGGAGAGTATGACATATTCTGCAGTGATCTGATATTCACTGAAATCAATATATAGCATACTCACTGCGGAATATGCCATACTCACCTGCGGAATATGCCATATACTGCAGGTGAGTATGGCATGAATATATGCCATATTCCGCGTAACAACTATAAGACTATGACTGGAATATGTTAGCACTAGTGCTAAAGGGTAAGGACCAAAAATTGTTAAGAACAAAGAAAGAAAAAGAAAACATTTAAGTATATATGATCAGTCACAAGAAAAGCAAACCCAAACTTCCCAAAACCATAAAAATTGTACCTTGAGGTTCAGCCATTTTCTTAAGAAACAAACTGTTTCCGTAACCAGCTTAATCGAATGGATCACCAGTGATGTAAAGACTGAATACAATTAAATTTACTGAAAGCACATGATTACAGAAGAGGGTCTCAAGAGCTTGAATTCACAATTTTTACACTGAAAAGTCAAGGTCATAATTTTGCGATTCTGACACAACGCTTTCATAATATTCTTCGAGGTTCGATGTACTGATAGCCAAGATTATGCTAATAGTCTTAGACTCTTGCCGTCAGAGGGTACATGTATTTTAACCTACTTTTGAGATTTGTATGGAAAGCAGATCAGAACAAAAAGTTCTAAATAAATGCAATGTTTGAGGTGTCAAGATACTGGGGAATTTCTGAAATCAGAATTGAAATCTGACTTCGAGTTAAGATTCTTTGATGTTTTGAAATCTTGAAAGGTCGACTTGATGATATCCTCATGTTAAGTCAATGGTGCGAACTTGATCAGCAACCCACTAAGCTACTTATTCAGCTACTTACCCAGCTACCTATATCATATTTATAGTGTATATAATATTAAAAAGATTTCATTTTCAAGTCCATAATGGTTATTGGTCTCAATTCTCCCAGTAATTTAAAAATAAGTGAAACAAATGAAGTCCTATCCCTATTTTTCAATATGTTTTAAAAAAATTATGACTTTATATATACTTATATTATATTTAAGGCATACATAATATATATATGATTTCATTATAAAGTCCTTAGGGGTTAATGATCTGAATTCTCCTAGTGATTTAAAAATAAGTGAAGCGAATGAAGGCCTACCCCTAATTTTTTTTAATTTTTTTTCAAAAGTTATGATTTTTTTCTCAACGACTAATGAATGCCAAATTCTCTTGCTTTGTATATATATAGAGTACACAACAAGGTAAAACTGGGATTTTTTTTATACATGATTAAGTTGCTTTTTAGGAATTTAATGGCGTTCACCTAAAATTACTGTGCGCATTTAATGCAAAATTTCAGATGAATAAGGGTTAAAAATATTCTTATTCACTCTGAATATCAAAGTTAAAGAGATACACAGATTGGGATACCTTATTACGAGCAAGAAATTGTAAAATTACTTTCAAAAAATTGCAGGCATTTGAAAAATAATTTTTTCCTTAGGGGGGTCTATTTTTCAAGGGAAGGGGGTACCAAAAATGATTTTTTTACATGTTCCACTAGATAGATTTTGGTAGATTTTTAGTATGTCATTTCATATGTTTATATGAATTGAAAAAACAACATTTTATTTCTATTGCAATTAGTTTTGGGTCAAATGTCACTTTGACTGGACTACTGGATCTACATGGACCTGTGAGGTAGCATCTTCTGGATCAACAGCTTCAGCAACAGATGTATGGGGCCTGGGATGCTTCTGTCTGTCATAACTTGGCCTCCTGTTTTGTTTGTTGTACCATAGATCTACTGCCTCATCAGGAGAGAACTCAGTGATTGATGGGGACTGAATTAAGATAAAAAGATATTTATTTATAGTTACTACATGACTTGAATGAAATATAAGTTAGATGATTAGGCCAATGTCAGATCACTGAAAGTGAAACAACTGTGTACAAGAAAATTGACTTGCCTCAAATTCTACTGTCATGAGACAATTCAATGTCTTGTTTGTGAGTCTGGATCTCGCAGAAGTTTTAAGAAGCTTTAGTTTGCTAAATGCCCTCTCAACAGCTGCTGTACTACCAGGTAAGGATAGAATGAGGTCTACAACCGTGAACAGATCTTGGAAGTCATATAATGTTTTCGTATTCTAACTCCACATGGTAGAAAGCTTTAGAAAATACTTTTTTTGAAAGTTTGTACTGTTGAAATAACTCACCATTCCTAGGCCTGCCAGCGTCTTTCCACAGATGCCATAAACTGTTGCGCTTTTTAACTAGTACCGTAAGACCAGGTGCCCAGAAAGGCTTTTGGTGCTTTTTGAATTTCTTAATTGGTAACATTTCCCCAGCTACTTCGTGAATTACATTGACAATCTCTTGTAAATACAAATCAATTTTATCATTGGTCAACTTATGCTCTTTTCTATGCATTTCTATCAAAATCTTATTTAACGTGTTTGTAATCTTTTCACAATAAACCATTCTAATCGTACTAGTTACTTTTGTCCAAGCTACATGTTTAACATGATTATTATCATTAGATAATGCTATTTCATTTTCCTAAACAATAACAATACGTCCACCATTTTGACCAAGTATAGTCCCAAATTTTGGCCTAAACTGGTCAATAGCATCATTGATATGTTGTTTAGACAATGAATTAAAAATGTGTTAAAAACCCTAACAATTTTTTCTTCAATATATCTCAAACATCTAGATTTGATATGAGAAGTGTTATTACTGTAAGAGTTAAATGTACCTCAGATTGTTCAAGACCGGAACTGTCATTTCATATATTAAGCTGAAGATTCCAATCAGAGTGACCATCTTAACATTCTCAAGTACCATCATCACTATAAGATACAAATCAAAAACAAACACTGTTTTGTCACAGTTGATCAGTTTTATTTAGAAAATAAAAGATACTCTTCCTGAAATATTGAGGAGCAATCCCATCCTGATGACAATTCTATTTTTAATCATGATCAGATTTACTGGCTGAACATTCTAAAAACAAAATATACAGTAATGTCGACAATCTGTATGCAATTCAGAAAGCAACTGACTTGGATTTACTAAATTGACTTTTTGAACTTAACAAAATAGGGAAAGCCACT